GCGCGCAAACCGAAATCCTTCACAAAACTTTGGATTGGTCAGGATTTCAAGATCGAGCGTCCAAAAACAAGAAAACGCGCGCTTGCGAAATCTATAGAAAACCATACATGCTTCAAAATGTTCAGATCATGCTACCAAACAGGCTTCGCGCGCGCGTCGAAATCGTTCGAGCGCCCATGCGCGCGCGCCGTCGCGAGAATCTCTTCAAACCTAAAACAAAATGCACGCGCGCCCGTCGTCGCGCGCGCATGCCGACATCCTTCAAAAAACTTCGGCGCCCCAGCGACTGCACGACCGAGCCCCCGAAAAACTCAAAGACACCAGGCTTCGCAACATCCGTCTTTTATTTAATTGCAATGCAAAATGTTTTTTTTTGAGTTCTTTCGAAAACCTTAAGTCGTTCAGCATGTCAATGGAATTATGCTAGACGGGCCTCTGGCGCCGCATGCCGACATCATTCGCGCGCCTTTGCGCGCGTGCTTGGGGGGGGGAAGGGCGCGATCGTCGCCAAAAGAGACCATGCGGGCCACTCTCGCGCGTCGGCCGCGCGCGCATGTCGAACTGTTTCCAAAACTTGTATCGCCGACGCGATGACGCAGTCATCGTCGTCGGCGCGACCAGCATCGGCTCTCGCACTGGCCGCGCCTTCGTCGGCGCGAACATCGTCACCAGCATCGCTCCTGTGTCTGCCGATGTCGGCGACGCCATGATACCGCGCCTGCCCAAGCCGCTGGCTCGCAGTGAAATGCCCGCTGGGATGCGCCCAGCGGTCAGTGCCACCGCGGCCGCGTCGGCGGAACCAAACTATCTGGCCGCTGCGCGCGCTAGGGTTGGCGCGGCCGCAGAGATGCACCAGCCAACGCCAAGCACGCATCGCAATCATAATCGCATGGGTTTTGCAAACCAAATTGCCAGAGGGTGGGTGGAATGTTTGCAAGACCATGGGATGTGTCAACTCGCTTGTTAAAATCAATTGCGCCACGTTGACTGCACCGCGCAGACTGCAAGAACCTACTGTTTGAGGCCTACGCTGCCCAACACTTTTAAAACCGCCAACCCCGCCGTCACTGTCGACGCTTCTGCTCTTCCCCTGGGCCCGTCGCCGCCCTCCCCTTTTCCTGGGCCTTCCTCCCCATGCGCGCCAGCCGAAACGAAATTGAGCGACGTCGTGAGTCGAACGGAAACCCTTTCCATTTGATCCCTTCCCCGCCAAATGGGGTCCACGGGGGGTCCTGGGAAGGTTCCCGGAAGGGTCCCGGGAGAGTCGCGGGAGAGCCCCGGGTCTGACGACCACCCCGCCCTGGGGGGCCCAGGGCCCAAACAAATCCCAAAATGAGCCAAGAATGCTCCATGAGGCCCCCAAGACGGTCCAGGAGGACCCCGAATCGCCGAACGATGGTCCAAGACGTTTTTACCACCCCCAGACAGCCCACGAGGGCTGGAAGACGCCGCAAGAGGCCTCGAAAAGCACCCCCAAGAGAGCCCCGAGAGGCAAAATTCACTGATTGTCCCCACGTTGCTCAAGGATTTAAACGTTCACGCCTTTTCAGCTTCCCGACGCTCCGAAACCGCCCAAGAGACTCCAACGATCGACACAAGAGGCCTCCAAGAGGGCCCCGCAACGGGCCAAAGAGGGGCCGAAGACGGCCCAACACGCTTGCAAGATGGCCCAAAGGGTCCCCAAAAGGGCTCCAAGAGGGTGCCCAGGCAAGGGAACCAAACAGACATTTCGAGCCCTCGGCCCCGAGAGGCCCCCAGGAGGCCCCAAAAGGCCCCCAAGAGACCCCCAAGAAGATCCAAGGAGCCCCAGTAGGTCCCCAGGAAGGCCCAAGAGGCTCCCAAAAGGCGCCCAAGATGCTCCCAATGGCCCCAAAAACGTTGTTCCACCACAAATCTCATGAGAAGCCAAAGAGCGACCTTCACAGCCACGCCGTAACGGTCTGGACGGCCTGCGCTTGCCAAACACGTGGAAAACAAACCACTCAAGACGGTCCTTCGGGGTCCGCCTTGGGACAACAAGGTGGGCACAACCGCGGGGGGGGGGGGGGCGAGGACGACGAGGGGCGGAAGAGGGGAGGAGGAGGCAAAGGGGCAAAGGCGCTGTGCGGGTAACCCCTGCGGCCCGCACGGCCATTCACATCATCCGAAAAAGCACAGCGCAAACAAGAGGGGAAGAATGAGGAGAGGAGGAGGAGGAGGAGGAGGAGGAGGAGGAGGAGGAGGAGGAGGAGGACTCTCCTGGAGGAGGAGGGAGAAATGGGGATAGCACGAAACGCTCGCACTAAAATACCCGCGTGCGCGAACACATTCGGATCTACTGCCCCCCAAAGGCCTTCGACAGCGCTCCGAACAGACCCCAAACAGAATCCCTGAGGACACTGACCCACCTCAGCGTCGTCGTCGTCGTCGTCGTCGTCGGCGTCCCCCTCTCAAGGTCGACGGCACCGGCCGCAAGGCCTTCGCAATATTTTTCCGTTGAATGAAATCGTGCATGTTGGTGTGGTTGTTGGTAATGGTATTGCTGTTGCTGTTCTCGGACTTGCATCTCAAGACAATAAATATTGTTGTTCCCCCCCTCCGGTAACCACCGTATGGTTCAATTGGTGCGCCTTTTTTTCTCCCGAAGGATCGCACACTGTTTTTCAGGCAGGGGAACGCGAGGTGTCGCCACACGGGGCCCTTGGTCCGCGAGTTACAACAACAGCGGCTCCCGCCTGATACTTCTTCACAAATCGTTCCAAAGTCGCGCTCTCGCGCGGGATTTGCTCACAAGCTATACAGGGTTCGCGCTGTCGCGCGTGACCTCCTCCATTCTACTCGAACGCCGCGTCCTCGACACCCCCGCATCACCCTCTCCTGTCTCGCTGCTCCCACTATTCAGTTGGGAATCGCGCCATCGCTCGAGCTCTCCTCGCGATTCATGCGGTCTTCACGCTCCAGCAGCACGCCTTCTCGACCTGGCCGATTGGGCCCGCCTTCCCTACCCGCCCGTGAGGGTTTACCCAGCCGATGGGCCCGTCTGGTTTTGCCACGTGCTCTCTGTTCCTAGCCCCCCCCCCTGCGAATCCCGTGGTCCATCCTTTCCCCCCCCCGTACCATGCGTCCTCTCCTCCCCTGCTCAAAGGCTGCACCAAGCACACGTGGCAGGTAAGGGGGACATACCTCCAGGAGGATTCGATCCAAGACGAAAAAACGGACAACGAGGGTTCGGGATTTACGCGTCGAATGGGGCGCGAGCAGGTAAGAGCGATCAGTCTTAAAATGAGTGTGCCACTGTCGCTGTGAAGCTGTCACTTCTAAGGTATACTTGTAGTTGGTTCAGTTGCTCGGTTAGAGTGCATCGCCCAGGGCGATGCAATCTTTTTCCCTACCTAGGCTCTGCTTAGAAGGGTTCTTACCGTGTTGGCTTCAAGGGCCGGGCAGTGTTCCACGCCCCGGGCGGTTCCCCCAGGATCCGCCCCACGGTTCCCCCAGTGACGCTCCCTTAGCTTAGCGTTGCTTATCTCATCTTAGCTTAGCTGATGTCATTTTAGCTTAGCTTAGCTTCGTCTTAGCTCAGGTTTATCTTAGCTTAGCGTACCTTCATCTTAGCTTCGCCGAGCTTTAGCATAGCAGAACACAGCATAGCATAGCAGAGCGTAGCACAGCACAGCGCAGCACAGCATATCCTAGCAAAGCCCAGCATAGCACAGCATAGCGCAGCATAGCATAGCATAACATAGCATAGCATAGCATAGCACAGCATCGCATAGCGCAGCACATCACAGCACAGCAGATCACCGCGCAGCATAGCATGGCATAGCATGGCATAGCATAGCATAGCACACCAGCAAAGCAAAGGCATAGCAACGGCAGCGACAGCAAAGCAAATCACAAGCAACGCAAAGCAAACCAAAGCATTAGCACGGGTATAATTCCCTACCTAGGCTATGCCTAGAGGGTTGGCTTAGCTTAGCTTAGCTTAGCATAGCGCAGCGCTGCATTCGCATGGTATAGCATAGCATAACATAGCCAAGCATAGAATAGCATAGCATAGCGCAGCATAGCATAGCATAACATAGCGTACCATAGCATAGTGCAGCTTTGCATAGCATATCATAGCATAGCTTAGCTTAGCATAGCACAGCGCAGCATGACATAGCATAGCTGAGCATCGTATAGCATAGCATATCATAGCATAGCACAGCGCAGCATAACATAGCATATCATTCGCATAGCGCAGCATAGCATGACATAGCATAGCATAGCATAGCAACTAATGCTGCTGTCCTAGGGGCTCCAGGTTCTAGGTAGGGTCGCACTGGGGTAATTCTTATATATATATATATATATATATTAAACAAACGAAAACACACAAAAAAACGAGGCGCCCAAAAACTGCACCCGTACCCCCGGTTAGTACAACAGCGGCTCACGCCTGATACTTCCTCACAAGTTGTTCCCAAATCGCGCTCTCGCGCGGGACTTCCTCAACGCAAGCAGAAATCGCGCTCTCGCGCGATAATTTCACGCTGTGTTCAGATGCCGCGCCCCCGACACTCAAGCATCACGCTCTCGCTTTGGCCTATCTCGCGATCTACTAGGGAATCGCGCTATCGCTGGGGACTACCTCGCGATTCATGCAGGACGCACGCTTCAGCAACCCACCTGCTCGACCTGGCCGCATGGGCCCGCCTTCCCGACCCGCCTGTTAGGATCTACCCGCACGATCTGCCCGACTGGTCCTGCCACGTGTTTTCTGTTCCTAGACCCCTCTCCTGTTATTGTTGGTTCTCTCTCTCTCTCTCTGCTTTTCTATCTCTCTCTCTCTCTCGTACTCCATCCTCCTCCCTCCCTTTTGTCCCCTTCTTCGAACCCGTCCCCTCTTCTCCTGCAGTAGGGGCTGCATGAAATACATGTTGAAGGTAACACACAAAAATAGACCCCCTAAGGGGTGCGATCGAAAGCGAAGAGGGCGGGTGTCGAGGGTTTGAGATAGACGCATTGAATGGCACGCGAGCAGAGAAGAGCGAACAATCTTAGAATGAGTGGTGAGATTGCTATTAACTGCTAAGCGTGCTGAATGAAGTCGTGGATGGAATGAGTTGGCGCAAAATCACAAATGCGGATGTGATAAATGCACGCCGCATGCTGCCTGGCCGTGTTGAGATCGATGTTACGCATTTCGCCAACGAAGTATGCTTGCGGCCCTCTATGCAAAAAAAATACGTTCTGCGAGCGAGGAGCTTGGTGCTGTTGTTCCGAAGCTCTTGGCTCAAACAGCCCAGGCACTAGGAACCACTCCGCCAGCAAAGAGTAAGACCGCACAAGTGGCCAGTGGCCCTCGACAGAGCGCGTCACAGCCTGCGCGGTTACGCAATGCTCGCACAAGCATGGAAATCGTTACCAGCAGCCCCGCAAAGTGGAGCAAAGATCTACCAGTCACCTCGCAACGACGATGGCGAAACCGGCAGAAGCCAAGGCAACCAGTAAAAAAGATCGAGACGCAAAACAGAACCGTCGTGGCCTATGTTGTTCAAAGCATCCGCCACTGTGCCGCACGCTCTGGGTGGAGCATCCTCAGGCTTCAGCGCATGCGCGCGAGAAATTCTGCATGAATCGTGCGCGGCGAAAGACGTCAAATCGAAGAGTAAGCTCTCGGCCCGAGGCGCGAGGAAATTGAAGGGGCCCTGGGACACGCAAATAAATACACACAAATAAAAAGATTCCCCAGATGTTCCAATATTTCCTGGGTTTCTGTCTCCCCCCCCCCACTTCCCATGTTCTCCAATGTTCTGGGAAATCGACGAGGAAATTGTGCCTGTGTGATTTTTCCCCCTCCTGAGAGGAATTGAACCGTGCAAGGCTCCCGCCCGTCTGGCTCCCTCCGCTCCCTCCCCCCCTCCCTTCCCCCCACCCTCACGTACTGCCGTCAAGTCGGGCCTGTCCCCCTACATGGGGATTTTCGACGAAGAATTTAAATACCCCCAAAAATACCTAAAAAAATTTTCAAAAAATAATCCCCAGACTATGTTCTGACTATGTTTGGAGTATTTTGGGGTATTTTTCTATTTTTCGTCGAAAATCCCCCTGTATGGGGGACAGGCCCGACTAACACTACCGCTCATACGACCCCCCTCCCCGCCGAAGAAGTCTGGCCGTCGAGCGCACCGCCCACGAGCGCTGCGACTGGCCCGGCTCTGCGCGACCCCACCCGCGGCCGAGGGCACTCCGGCGCGCCTCGCCCTCGGCAGCACGCGGCCGAGCGGCGAGCAGGGCCCAGGCCAGCCCGCAGCGAGCAGCGGCCCAGGCCGCCCAGCCGCGGGGCGCCCCCCGCGCAGCGGCGACCTCGCGCCGCCGCGCCGCCAGCGTGCTGCACAGCGGCGCTCTCGGCCCGCGGTGCTCCGCCGAGCTCGGCCGCTCGGCGCCGCCGCGGCTCGCCGCGCGGCGCGCCCGCGGCGGCGCCGCCCAGCGGCGAGGCGCGGCGCCGCCGCGGCGGCGCCGCGCGCCGCGCCCGCGGCGGCGCGCCGCCGAGCGGCGGGTGGGGCTCGCGGCAAGCCGCCGCGCCAGGCCGGGGCCCTGGATCTGCAGGGGCAGGGCAGGCGAGCGCCGCGGCGTCCTTGTCCTTCGCGTCCTTACCCTTCGGCGTCGCGAGGCTCTCGCCGCAGGCCAACGTGCTGCTGGTGTCCATCGCGTCTTCGCCGGCCTTCGGGTGGCAATGCTTCTGCGGCCTCGCGCGGGCGCCCTCGTCTGGCGTCGACGGCCACCGGCCCTTGGCCGTCGAGTGGTGCACTCCGGGCACCAAGGCCATGCTGACGGGAGCGGGCCGGAGGCTCTTGCAGCGGTTGGGCTTCGACTCGCGCATGGCCGTCGTCAGGCGCAGCAGGCCAGCACAAGAGGCGGACGGAGCCCACGGGAAAGGGGAGGGCTGCGAAAATCAACCAGATGTGGCCTGAGCCAGAAGCGGCTTGAGCCAAAATGGATGCGGTAACAGCAAGCACGGTTTAGGGAATCTGCAAATAAAGAACAACATATTGTAAATCGAGTTCCGAGAAAACAATGCAAATCAGATCAATGGAATGCAAAGTAGCACGAAGCAATGCAAAGCAACACACAGCAACGCAAAACAACGCAAATCAATGCAAAGCAATGCAGAGCGATGCATAGCCGTGCAGAGCGATGCAAAGCACGGCAAATGAATGCCAAAGCATGCAGAGCAACGCAAAACACGGCCTAGCAATACAAAGCAACGCATCTTCATGTAACCCAGTGCGCCACAATGCGGTTGCAAAGCAGCGCGACTGCAAAGCAATGACGCAACGCAGTGCAGAGCAACGCAAAAGAGCTGAAAGCAATGCGGATCGACGCACTGCCCAGCAGTGCCAAGCAAGGCCGGGCAGTGCGAAGCAATGCAACATGCAACGCAGTGCGGAGCGGGCGGCGACGACGCGGCGGGCGGGCGACGAGGCCGCGACGGCGGCCACCTGGCGGCCACATGGCGACCACCTGGAGGAGGAGGAGGAGGAAGAGGAGGAGGAGGAGGAGGAGGAGGAGGAGGAGGAGGAGGAGGGGGAGGAGGAGGAGGGGAGGAGGAGGGGAGGAGGAGGAGGAGCGAGGAGGAGGAGGAGGAGGAGGAGGAGGAGGAGAGGAGGAGGAGGAGGAGGGAGGGGGGAGGAGGAGGAGGAGGAGGAGGAGGAGGAGGAGGAGGAGGAGGAGGAGGAGGAGGAGGAGGAGGCGACGGGCGACGAGGCGGCGGCGAGGCGGCGACGGCGGCCGCGGGGCGGTCGGAGCGGCCCGCGGGCCCAGGCGGCGGGCGGCGGCGGGTCGGCAGCACGGCGGCGGCACGGCGGCCGCAGGGCGGCCCGCAGGCCCGGTGCCTCGAGGAGGCAGGTGAGATCCCCGGGTGCAAAAAAAAAAAACCTTCGTTCGAGGAGGGAGGATTGCAAAAAAACCCAGGGTTGTTTTTGCAATCCAGGGTTTTTGTGCAATCCTTCGTTCGAGGAGGCAGGTGAGAGCCCCAGGGTGTAAGCCCTGCTCGGGGAGTGTGACATACTACAGGGCAATGTTTAATACATGGGATTGTTTTTTATATACTGATTGTTAATGAATGGTTAATTGAGGGATGAATTGATGCATGAACTTATCGTTGTGTTTGAATACAAAAATCCCTGCATGTTTCATACACGATCCGCACGCGGAGCAGGTATTAAAAACGGCACTGTAGCAAGGATGCCCGCTTTTGCTGCGTCCACAGCGTCAGGAGACTTTGGCTTAGGCACCAGAGCTGAGCATGAGTGAGGGCCAGTCGTGCGCATGCAACTGCGAGTGGGTGCCAAAGCTGGTACCGTACATCGATTTTACACCTACCGCCCAGTGTGTTCGTCGTCATGGTAAACTCTCCCGAGGACGACTGGGGCTTCTCTTGGCGGCGCGCACAAAGTGGTAGAAGGGAGGGGGGAAAGCTTTCTAGCAGGAGGCTGCTTCTTAGAAGGCGCGGGCACGACATCTACAGGAAAGGCCCCCGCGCCCTCTGAGAGGCAGACGTGCTTCTGAGAAGCCTTCCCCCCTCCCGCCTGCCGCCCTCTGCGCGTGGCTGAGAGAAGGCGGAGGAGGAAAATCCAGGCATGAATGAAGGGGCCCCAGGACACACAAATAAATATACACAAATAAAACTATGCCCCATATGTTCCCATATGTTTGGGTTTTTTGTCTTCCCCCCCACTTCCCATATTTTCCCATATTTTCTGGGGAATCGACGATTGAACGCGTCGTGAGACAATCACGGCGGGCGGTTCTCGGCCGCTGTCGGGTTTTAGGAGCCCCCGCCGGGCCCCGGGACGGTCAGAACGTGCCTCTGTGCAGTCAGCCCGGGGGGGGGAGGTGAGAGGGGGCAGGCCTTCTCAGAAGGCTCGGAAGTCCCCAAACCTTCTGAGAAGTTTGCCGAGCCTGCCCCGAAGACACAGTTAACTTGTCAGAAGACCAAAAGGTTTCTGAGAAGCACCACCGCCTTCTGAGAGTGCCTTGTCCTTCTCACTTCCCCCCCTCGCTCGCTGCCGACCCTTGGGATGCAAAACCGGCCCTGGGGAAGGGGTTGGAAATTCCTGGGACCCCGTGCTGAAAGGATCAAGACGGCGCATTTCTCTGTGTGAGTGTGTTGTGTGCTGTGTTGTGTGCTGTGTATTGCGTATTGTGTGTTTTGTGTAAAGTGTCTTGTGTGTGTTGTGTGTTGTGTGTTGTGTGTTGTGTATGTGTTGTGTGTTGTGTGTTGAGTGTGCTGTGCTGTGTGTTGAGTGTCTTGTGTGTGTTGTGATGTGTGTGTGTTGTGTCTTGTGTGGTGTCTTGTGTCGTGTGTCTTGTGGTTTGTGTTATGTGTCTCATGTAGTGTGCCTTGTGTCTTGTGTATTGTGTCGTGTGCCGTGTTTCTGATGTCAGATGTCTTGTGTGTTGTGTCGTTTGTCTTGTCTTGTGTGTCGTTTGCTGTGTGCTGTGGTTTCTGTGTTGTGTGTCGTGTTGTGAATCGTGGGTCGTGTGTTTTGTGTTGTGTATTGTGTTGTGTGCTGTGTAATATGTGTTGTGGATTGTGTGTTGTTCGGTATGTGAGTGTGTTGTGGATTGTGTTTTGTGTGTTGTGAGTTGTGTGTTGTGTGGTGTGTGGTGTGTGTTGTGTGTCGTGTGTTATGTATGTGTGTCGTGTGTTATGCGTTGTGTGTCGTGTGATGTGTGTGTGTTGTGTGCTGTGTGTTGTGTGCTGTGTTGTGTGTCGTGTGTTGTGCGTGCGTGCGTGCGTGCGTGCGTGTGTGTGTGTGTGTGTGAGGATGTGCGTGTGCGTGCGCGCGTGTGTGTGTGTGCGGTCGCGGGGAAGTTTCTCGAAATGATGGCGTCCGCCCGCAGGGCGGGATTTCCCCCGCAGGCGCGCGCCCGCCCCCCACCTCCCCCACAGCGAATTGCCAGAAACTCCCGCGCGGTCGAACAAGGGTGGTCGCGGAGGGGTTTCTCGAAATTATATCCGCCCGCAGGACGGGATTTTCCCCGCATGCGCGCGCCCCCACCTCCCCCGCCGCGAATCTCCCGAACCCCCTTCTCGCGGTCGAGCAATGGGCGGTCGCGGGGGACATGGCAGCCGCCCGTTGGGCGGGATTTTCCCCACGAGGCGCGCGCGCCCCACTTCACCCGCAGTGCATTACCAGGAACTCCCCCGCGGTCGAGCAAAGGTGGTCGTGGGGGACTTTCTCCGACATGGCACCCGCCCGCAGGGCGGGATTTTCCCCGCAGGCGCGAGCCCCCGGCCCGCCCGCCATGAATTGTCAAACGTTCCCTCGCAACCGAACAAGGGCGGTCGCGGGCAAGCTCCTCGAACGGGCATCCGCCCGCAGGGCGAAATTTTCCCAGCAAGCGCGCGCACCCACCTCCTCCGCCGTGAACGAGTGGCACGCGCGCCATGGCTCTTGCACAAAATGGACGGAGGAGGAGGAGGCGGAGGGAGCGCGCTGGCTGGTGAATGTGGTGATGGAGGGGGCGCTCGGGATGGGGCTGTCGGGGCTGAGAGGGCGCGTTGGCTGGTGGATGGGGGGATGCAGAGGGGGCGCTCGGGGTGGGGGGGGGCGGCGCCGTGCCGAGATGAATGGGTCAGGGCGGAGGGGGCGGTACCGCGCCAAAACAAACGGGTCGGGGCGGAGGGGGCGCGCTGGCTGACGGGTGGGGGGTTGCGGAGGGGCGCGCGCGGAGGGGGTGGAGGGGGCTGTGCCGAGCCAAAATAAAGGAGTCGCGTCGGGGAGGTGTGCCGTGCCGAAATACTACACATATACACATATACCTATACCTATACCTATACCTATACCTATACCTATACATATACATATACATATACACATACATATACATATACATATGCATATGCATATACATATACATATACACATACACATACACATACATATACATATACATATACCTATACCTATACCTATACCTATACCAATACCTATACCTATACCTATACCTATACGCTGGCCGGCGGGCGGGGGAAGTGCGAGGGGGGTGCGCCGCGCCGAAATAAAAGTCGGGGCGGGATGGTGTGGCGCGCCGAAATAAAGGGGTCGGGGCGGACGGGTGCGCCGCGCCGAAATGAAGAAGTCGCGGGGCGGAGGGGGCGCGCAGGGGGGGGGGGGAGGGCGTGCCGAAATAGAAGGGTCGGGGCGGAGGGGGCGCACTGGCCGGCGGGTGGGCGGTGGGGCGCGGGGGGGGGCGTGCCGAAATAAAAGGGTCGGGGCGAAGGGTTTCGCCGGCTGGCGGTCGGGCGGGCGCA